CATTCATTAATTTAAAAGAAATGGAGGAAGAATATTATGAAAAAAGCCATAAAGTAATAATTCTTAGCATAATTTCGTGTACCAGTTGCATTGCATGGGGTAGATTTCAATACCTACTTATACATCCTACTGAATCCGAGATATACAAAATACGGTGCTTATGGCTTATCTAAGGTCTAATTTATAATAATAATAATAACAACAATATTATATTATTTCACAAAAAAACCTATAAACATGGTGCTCATGGCTTATCAAGGGCCAATTTGCAATAATAAAAACTACAGCATATGGTCCAGTATATGGTCAACTAAAAACTATAATATATATACCACATTAAGAGCATCCACACGGACCACAACAATGAAATAATAAAGTCAATATTGTATATGCAGTTACTATCGACACTTAAATAATTTTTAAAATCCAACCCATGCTACTTTCACTGTACCTGCATCGGTACAATTCACTTACAATTTGAACTAGTGGACTCAACTGATTTTCGTAATAGAATATAAAGCATGCGGTTACAGAAGTCCACCATCCCCATTTTTAGACTATCATGACTTTCATATTAAATTGTATTTATTTCAAAATTGGAAATATGTAACGGGTAATCACATCAATACAATTGATATTACAATTGGAAATTGCATACCATATTATTTAGCCATTTAAAATGCAACATCAAAGTAAATGCTCTAATGGATCACAATTTCACAAACTCGCAACCACTCTTTTTTCTTTGTCCTGCATTGCATCCATCCATCCGATCGTTTGTCTCAATGGCTAAAAAATCACAATTTAGCGGCTAAGGAATCCACCTGCTCTGCTAGAGTACTTCTTCACCTCGAGTTTGGTCCTCCTAGGCTAGCTAGTTAAGAGACGGTTTGGTTTTGTTGGTAATAAATAAATAGCGATCCTTGTCGTGGGCCTTTCGTTTGATGTCAGATCACAGATGGGCATTTAAAGCCCAATTGGCCCCATTCTTATATGGTCCACAGAATCGCTACCATACCCGTGCAGACAGACGATAAGCCACCTCCGTCGTCTTGTAGAGGGTTCGTTGTCGTTTCAATGGTATCCTATTCGACTAATTATATCGATTTTCATTTTCACACGGCTTAATTTGTTCCGAAACATTGTTCGAATTCGAAGATATAAAATACAGATTCTGAGATTAACAAGTAACTTGGGAGGGCAAGTGCCTCCAGGAAACATAATAACGAGTACAGCCAAACCGACGAAATTTGAAGAGCCCACACTTGAAAGATAAGATTCTCTTATATACACGAGTTTGTCCGTTTGGGGTCTACATGTTCTTGAGTTGAGCTCTTTGAACCTGGAATGATTAATTACACGACTTTATACGTCCTTTTATGATCTTATTAAAAAAAAAAACAACAATAAGGCATATTAAGTCGAAGTGGCAGTATTTTGAGTTGGTATGATTACTGTAATTGTTATTGAGCTGGCAAATCCTTTGGAAAAAATAAAACACAGTTGTCAAATCCTATTGTGATTAAATTATTACTAAAAAAAATTCAAATTAATCTAATGGTTACCAGGAAATTTCTGCTGCAATGTGCACAACTAATCACGATTATCTATAGTGCTGTGAATAGAAGGAAATCATCATTCTGTACTGTTTTTTCGTTAATCAATGAAAATTTATTATTTTCCGAAGTCAAACTATTACATTAAATAAGAAAATTGATCCCCATTGATTTGAAATGAACATTAATTTTAAGTTTATTGATCAACATTAAAGCCCAATAACAATAGTTAGCTGAAAATATGAATGCTGAATTAGTTACACATACTGAAGTATCAGTTGATAATGTACTCAGTACTGTTATACTTTGGTTGGGATGTCGTCGTATAATCATTTCGCCCAATAAAATCGTTAAAGTTAACAGAAGCCTCATAATTGATGACTGGATTTTGGTTACCTCCGTGGATTTGTTTGTCATGGGAGTTTAGGGGAGATGGACGGTGGTTGAGCTAGATTGGTTGTATTCGGAGGTAGTAGTAGAGTTTGGAGTGGATGTGATTTTTTCATTTGTGCCGTCAAGAGAGGAAGAATTGATGAATTATATGAATCATATGTTGAACGAGTTATTTTTTGTTTTTAATATTAGAGATTTTTTTGTTTTCTTTTATTTATGAATATTTTATAGTTGTTTTTATCACTTAAGAAATTTTACCAAATAAAGCTTGATGGCATGATATTATTTAGTCCACTTAAGCTTTTATCGTGAGTGGAGTGATCCATTCGAAAGCTCCCGTTTAATATTATTAGTATAAATTTTTTAACTATTTAAATGTATTTCTCAAACATGCGGGAATGACAAGTGACATAACGTGGCGATTTGAAACGTACACGACGTTCACATCAATTTATCGATGTTTTCATGGTACCTCTAATGTCACCAATGTTTTAAACCAAAATGAGTATATTTGTTACATAAACTTTCAAATCTAGCTATACTTTTTATTATTTAAAAAATTGATCATATTTATCAAAAATATCAAAAGTATGACTGATTTTGTAATTTCTATATGTTACAAGTTACAACAACTGACGACTGGCTTTCATAAAAGAAGAATGAATAATTGAATATGGTTCACTGCCGGAGAAGCTATAATATAAAGTCCAACTAAATTTTAATTTTTTTTTTTAATATCTCTTTTATAGAGGTTGGCTTGAATGGACAAAATCTAGTGAAGAGCAACTAGTAAAATTGGGGAAATTATAAAATATACAAATGCTTGGGAGAAAGAATTTGCGGAGACGTTACTCTTACTCGCTAGTGCTTTGTTTGTCAGCTAAAAACCGCATTAGACAGAAGTGGAACATGCCCTCCATAGTCCAATTGACCTCCATGATTCATGATTAGTAGTTGAATTCAATATTCTACCGATGCTGGATGAACCTATACGAACCTTTCCAATTATGACTTGAATATGAAATTTATTTATTTCAAATAGGTGATTATTAGCCTAAACTCGTAACAGTGGATAATATCGTTTGAATATGTGTTAGAATCGACCGGTGCCCAGGATTTAGCTTGATTTGAATTGAGAGTAAAATACTACTACAATTCTAATAAGTCTTGATTGTCTTTAGAGTTTTGACTCCTCGTGCGAAGGATGGGGAATGAGGAACCGAAACATCAATGCTGGAACTGCATGGAATGGATCATCTCATCTACCAGTAATAATGCGAGGCAATGGAACAGTTGATGAAATTGAGATGTGGGAGTTAGCTAGGGTTTTCAGATATGGTACAACGTACCTTTGGCTTTTCTCCACATAACTATTTTTGTTGCGTGTCGGAAAAAGCGACGGCCACCAAGAAACCACGGTGTTTGGAAAATGAAAACTGAGAACTTATTACTGTTCTGCTGGACTACTGGATGCAGGAACAAGAAAGGGATTGGACTTTGGAGTCTTGCCCATTCCTTCCTAGCTAATTAACCTGCGAACTGAACAGAGTGAAATATGGAAAGCGTCTACTCAACCCAAGCTAGCTAGCTAATTCAATGCAATGGTTATTGAAACTGACGAGAGAGAGAGATAATAAGTCAACAATCAGTGGGAGAGAATGAAGTTTGACGTTTCTATCTGTCTCAATTGCCCCATACTGCCCCGATTATTTACCCGATCACCCCTAGTGCAGAAATAGAAGTAGAGAGTTACGTGGTATAAGATTTATTATTGATTTTTTTCTTCAAAAATTTGAGTTGTTGAAATCAACTAATACTTAACATGACATTTGAATTGATTTAATTAAGTGATCATGTATTCGAATTTTCGCGACATTAACCGTTGAATCAAATGCTAAGATGAGGTTTCAGTTTCATCGGTTCAGCCCCATATGATCCATCTTTTGGCCACGGTGTCTCTTGAGTCTTGTCTCTAATTAATTTGCAAACTTAGCGGCCAGTCCTCAGCTCCGGGCTCCAAGCCTTCGCTAGCTAGGATCCATGTATTTGGGCCCCCGAGATCGCTATATAAGAGGCCCATGTGGCATGTAGAATCACTTCTACGAAGAATCCAACAAGATCCACTGACTATGACGAACAACATTCAAAGCAACTACTGAGTATGAATCATCCAAAAACCAATAGGCATCTATTCTTCTTATAAAGTATCGACCGAACAATGACGAACAACATTCAAAGCAACTACTGAGTATGAATTTGATGCATAAGCCCACAAACCAAAAGGCCTTGTCCAGTGAGTTACTACTGCAATCTGCCAATACTATTAAGCCGACTGGCCCATTGGGCTTTTCTCCATCATATTTCCTGACAAGGAGAACTTTCCTCATGACTGAAAGTCTGTTTATATCCTGAGCCTGAGGACATGAATTCGGCATGGCGTGGAACTCCGGGAGCCATCAGCCTGTAAAATGTCGTGCCCATTTCTTTTCCTTTAGTGATGCATTTTTTCTTGTATATTCATATATTTATTTATTTATCCAAACGGAAAATAAAGCAGAGGTCTCTGTATGAGTGGATAATGTCATGGAGAGTATTATTCTGATCTATGAGAATATTAATAATATTGTTATTTAATATTTCCTGGATCATAACTCCAGTGCCCATCAACAGTGGATTGGAGTATAAACTGACCAAGTTCTTGTTAAGTTTCTTATGTTGCAAGCATGAGCTGTTGTGTTGATAATACCGGCTAGTACTACCGGTATTGGACACGAACCAGTTGGAAGTCCACCAATATAAAGTTGTAGTTAAAATTGGTCAAAATTTGAAAATAGTAAGTTAATTGGAATATTTAGTTTTCGGTCCCTGAACAATATAACATTGAATTTGTTGGAATTAACTAATAGAAATAAATGAATTTGTTGAATTTACGATTTAAATTGATTTGACGGAAAAAACTAATTTTACGAAGCTATATTCTCATTTTCTTTATTTATTTTCCGTTTTGAGGGAGAAAGGTTTTAAGTTTTAAGCTTCTCGTTATCCCCTTGAACAACATCCACCCGAAAGTACAAGGCCCAGAACAGAAGAGCCAGAGCAAAACAGGGGCATCCTCAGCTCAGCTCCCCTCAACTCCAGAGGAGCAACCACAGCCAAAATAATGGCGGCAGAGACAGTTCGATTGACGGCCTCGTCTTCCTCCTCACTCTGCTCCTTCCATGGCTCCCAGAGGAAATCTAACAACTCTCTCTCCGCCCCAGTTCGCTTTCTGGGTCTCCCTGCCCCTCGCCATTCAGTTTCATCATCTCCTATCTCTTCCTCCCTTTCTCACTTCCTCGGCGGTCACCATGCCCGCTCCCAATTCTCCATTTCCAGGCAAACCCTACAAAGAAGACGGCGGAACTTATCTGTCTCCGCCATGGCTGCTGCCGAAGGTATCTCTTATCTCATCACTTACCTCTCTACTTTCGAATGCATGCGTTCATTGAAAAATTACTACCGTACTTTCAAATTCCCCTGATATATTTGGCGACTGTTTTCTCTGGTTATGAATGGTTTGGTCATTCTTCTGTTTTGGTTTTGGCTGTTCAGTTTATGGGTAATTGACAAAGTTTGGGTCTTTACAAGTCAGTGGTGCTTATAGTTATACTTCTGCATCGAATCGAGGAAATTGCACAGGGAGAGTTTAAGCCTTTTAGGTTACTTGATGGAAATGACGTTGGTGAAAGTTCAGTTATCGTTTTCATACTAATGGAGTCTGTGGATTAAGGACTGATTTGATTCTAGTGTAAGGTTAGTACTAATACGAATTTGCTTAACTATGTATACTTGGACAGAGGGAAAGCGTGTGGTGCCATTGAAAGACTACAGAAACATAGGAATCATGGCTCACATCGACGCAGGAAAGACCACCACAACCGAGAGGGTACTCTATTACACGGGTAGGAACTACAAGATTGGCGAGGTGCACGAGGGAACTGCCACCATGGACTGGATGGAACAAGAGCAAGAGAGAGGGATCACCATTACCTCAGCTGCCACCACCACATTCTGGAACAAGCATCGAATCAACATCATCGATACCCCTGGCCATGTGGACTTCACATTGGAAGTCGAACGTGCTCTCCGAGTTCTTGATGGTGCAATCTGCTTGTTCGACAGTGTTGCCGGGGTGGAGCCACAGTCGGAGACCGTGTGGAGGCAGGCTGATAAGTATGGCGTGCCTAGAATTTGCTTTGTGAACAAGATGGATAGGCTTGGAGCCAACTTTTTCAGGACGAGGGATATGATTGTTACGAACTTGGGGGCTAAGCCTTTGGTGATTCAAATCCCGATTGGTGCTGAAGATGGCTTCAAGGGTGTAGTTGATCTTGTCAGGATGAAAGCTATTGTCTGGTCTGGGGAAGAGCTGGGTGCAAAGTTTGAGTACCAGGATATTCCGGGTGATCTCGAAGAATTGGCTCAGGAATACCAAGCTCAGATGATTGAGACGATTGTCGAGTTGGATGATGAGGCCATGGAAGGCTATTTAGAAGGAATTGAGCCTGATGAGGAAACTATCAAGAAGTTGATTAGAAAAGGAACTATTGCAGGCAACTTTGTTCCTGTTCTATGTGGCTCAGCTTTCAAGAACAAAGGAGTGCAGCCTTTGCTCGATGCAGTTGTTGACTATCTCCCTTCCCCAGTTGACTTGCCAGCAATGAAAGGGACTGATCCGGAGAACCCAGAGATCACACTCGAAAGGGCTGCAAGTGATGATGAGCCATTCTCCGGTCTAGCATTCAAGATCATGAACGATCCATTTGTGGGATCTCTTACATTCGTTAGAGTATATTCAGGGAAGCTTGCGGCGGGATCTTATGTCATGAATGCAAACAAGGGGAAGAAAGAGAGGATCGGAAGGCTTCTCGAGATGCATGCCAATAGTAGAGAGGATGTTAGGGTTGTCTTGACGGGAGACATTGTTGCTCTAGCTGGACTAAAGGACACCATAACTGGAGAAACATTGTCTGACCCGGAGAACCCGATTGTTCTCGAGCGAATGGACTTCCCTGACCCGGTCATAAAGGTGGCAATTGAACCAAAAACCAAGGCTGACGTGGACAAGATGGCAACTGGATTGATCAAGCTTGCACAGGAAGATCCTTCTTTCCATTTTTCTCGAGATGACGAGACCAACCAGACAGTGATCGAAGGGATGGGCGAGCTCCATCTCGAGATCATCGTGGATCGTCTGAAGAGAGAGTTCAAGGTGGAAGCCAATGTTGGAGCGCCCCAGGTGAACTACCGGGAGAGCATCAGCAAGATAGCCGAAGTGAAGTACGTTCACAAGAAGCAATCAGGTGGGCAAGGGCAGTTTGCTGATATCACTGTCCGGTTCGAGCCCATGGAATCAGGTCAAGGGTACGAGTTCAAGAGCGAGATCAAGGGAGGGGCAGTCCCACGGGAGTACATCCCTGGAGTGATGAAAGGGCTTGAAGAATGCATGAGCAACGGTGTTCTGGCAGGCTTCCCTGTGGTTGATGTTCGTGCTGTATTAACCGATGGGTCCTACCATGATGTCGATTCAAGTGTTTTGGCATTCCAGCTGGCGGCGAGAGGTGCGTTCAGGGAAGGGATCAGGAAAGCTGCTCCTAAGATGCTCGAGCCGATAATGAAGGTGGAAGTTGTGACTCCGGAGGAACACTTGGGGGATGTGATTGGTGATTTGAACTCCAGGAGAGGGCAGATCAATAGCTTTGGTGATAAACCTGGTGGTCTGAAGGTAAGCGAACAAAACATAGTAATGGTCGTCTTTCATTGTCCTTATTCCGGATTGGTTGTAATGAATGATATAATGGACTGCAGGTAGTGGATTCGCTCGTGCCGTTGGCTGAGATGTTTCAGTACGTGAGCACGTTGAGGGGAATGACGAAAGGCCGGGCTTCATACACGATGCAGTTAGCCAAATTCGATGTTGTGCCTCAGCATATCCAGAACCAGCTCGCTACGAAAGAGCAGGAAGTCGCTGCTTGATTCCAGGTTACTGCTGGTGGAGCTGTAATGTTTACTGTGTAAAATGCTTAGTTTTGGTGGCTTGAGGTATCTGGATTCGGTGCGAATGTAACTTATTTCACACTCATTTATACGTTGGAAATTGTTGTACTTTACGTGAAATTGAAGATGGAAGGGACAATAATTGTGTAATGAGAGCACAATGTGTATTTTGCAGAGCTTCTTGGCTGGTTTGAACCGAAGATATTGGGTCAAGCACAATGTGTATTTAGCCATTAAGGAAACTCAACAATGGACCTTTGAATTTTAACGAATCTAAGACTGAAGTTTCGACTAATTGATGTTATAGATGTTTGTCTATTCGATTCATGTTTCATTCGAATTGTTCAAATGGACAAGTGGAGTATCTTGTGTTTGGCTTCAAATGCATCGTTCGTATCTGCTGGATATTCAAGTACTAATCCAAGTGTACTGGACATAAACATGAATAATTACGTCGACGTCAAGTTTCACTACCAGCAACTACAAACAAGCAGCTCTCGTGCTAAATGAAGGGAGGCACAACCATAACAGACGATCTCAAAATTCCACCCGATATGAAAAGAGGAAAAAACCAATGTTCTCAGTTCACTGTAAGGTTCAAATTCACGACTAAAAGATTACAATTTCCAATGATCTAACCCAGAGAAGAGGATGGCAAAAATACTTGGGGCAGAAACTTCGCAGACACAGCCTAGAAACAGACTATTCATCACAAAATTTATCGGACTTGGATGATGCCAGCATTCACAAGCTTTTGGATCTTGTTCATCACCATAGGGTTCTTCATGTGCTCCTGAGCTGCCTTTGGGTCCTCCTGAATATCTTGCAACACCTGCAGTACCAAGACAGGTTAGATTTTGAAGGAAACAAACAGGAATAGATACCAAGAAAAACATTAAACTCGGAAGTTGCTTTACTTGTCTCATGACAGGATCGGAGAGGATGTTTTGAACTTCAGGGTCATGCATTGCCTTCGCCTGCGACAATGTAGAATAAAGTCAAGACAGGTATCTCAAAAACCTCTGAATTATGCAGTCAAGGTTTCAGTAGCTGAATAAGGCTCCAAACCTGTCTCTCTTTCAGCTCTTCGGGGCTTAGATCCCCACGGCTTGCCTTGTTCATTTGCTCAACGCATCTACAAAACAATTGGGACACAACATAATCCATTATATTTAACTTTAAACCACATAGATCAATTAGATGAGGCAAAAGGTTACCACCGGATGCATACCTTCTTATACCGTCAAGCAACTCTTGGTTCTTAGAATCATATTTCAAACCTTCTTGGTAGGTCTCCAAGGCCTTCTCGTACTCCTTCATGAAGAATTGAATAGCACCCTTCCTTGTGTAACCTTTGGCAAAAGCCGGGTCAAGCTCAATGCACTTTTCTGCATCCTTCAATCCCTCAGGCATAGCACCAAGTTTCGTGTAACAAGCCGCTCTATTGCTGTATGCCTGAAATTCATAAACCGTGAGTAGGTCATGACTTTCATATCGCAATTGAGCTTATAACTGTGACAACCCATTGATATGTTTTTACCTTATGATCCTTTGGGTTTCTCTTAATTGCTTCTGTATAATGCTTGATGGCATCAGGGTATTTTTGCTCCTTGAAATATTCGTTTCCTGCACAGAGCATTATAGTTAATTTGGTGACCATTGAAAGAATCCAGAGATATTTAACCAGTGGGAATAGGGCGTATACCTTTCTCACGTGCCTCATCGGCCAACTTTGGATCAAAGTACTCTTGCTGTTCAAGATCCTTCTTCGCTTTCTCTGCTTCATTTAATTTCTTCAATGTATCTGGGTTACGATGTTCTGTCAGGGCCTTTTGGAAGGTCTCGATTGCAGGTTCATAGTCCTTTGAAGTTTTGGCCATTTTCACCAAGGCGGAACCTTTCCTAGTCAAAGCTCTTGCAACCATCTTGTAATCTGATCGAAGCTCCCTTCCACGCTCCACAGCCTTGTCACAGTCTTTGATACAGTCTTCGTACTGAGAGATCACACAAAGCAGCCATCAGAAAACAATCAACGTTGCACAAGCAAAAAATGTGGACATAAAGAAACACATTTGAACTCAACACTAGAGAACTACTAATCTGAAACACGGCACAAAAAGTTCAAGCCTTTCGAGGATTACAGACCATTGAGGTACAGCTTTAGGTTCTTGCTCCCCTAAACCTAAGACTAACAGATGGGGCAAACAGATTAAGACTACTACCACAGCCTACAGAAGAAGGGCAAACAGATGGAGAACACGTCTTGAGGCCCTTCAGGATTCTAAACATGAAAGAAGGAAAAACAAATACTTGAAATGACTAGCTTATACCAGCTGTATTGAGAGTATGTAGGCTTTAGTACATTGTATCATCGTCAATTTTCCATATGACTAAACATATCGTAGTCATAGCAATTCTATCAACAATTCTATCCATGATGTCAGTTCTAGCAACCATTTTATCGATGGAATTAAATAAACTAAGCGAAAGAAATGCTTACCTTGCCCATCTCCAAGTAAACAGCAGCACGGTTAGTGATAAATGAGATATCCTCATCATAGAGCTCAATCGCCTTGGTGTAATGCGCAATGGCAGTTTCAAAATCCTTCTTCTTGTAAGCAGCATTACCCAATTCCTTCTCCTTCAAAGCCTGCGCTTTCCTCTCCTTCTCCTCCCTCTCCTCCTCCGGCACCTCCATTGGCTCTGGCTCAGGCTCGCGAGTCCTTTCCTCCACAGGCGCATTGTTCGTTGTCGGCTTCTTCTCGGGAGGCGGAGGCGGCGGAGACTCAGCCTCCGTCTCAGGAATGTCCATGTCTTCTCCGGCATTAGGCGACATGAACTTCACATTGAGCAAGACTCCTAGAGCCTGCATCACCCGCTGGTCCTTCAAGTACAAATTCAAATTGCTAGGATTCTTCTGAATGTCCTGCATCATCTTGACGAAATCCGGCTGCTGCAGGAAGGGCCTGGTGGAGGGATCTGCTGTGAGCTTTGCCCACATCTCCGGCCCTGAGAACGAATCGGCGAACGGGTTAGCGCTCTGAGGAGCAGCTCTAGACCTAGAAGACGAGGCGGCGGCGGATTCGGCATCTGCCAATCCAGACTTCAAGGCATCGTTGTTGGGATCGAAGTCGAGCCCTTTCTTGTACGCAACAATAGCGTCCTGATACTGGGTCAAGCCGAGATGAGCGGCGCCGAGGCGGGAGTAGCCCTTGGACCAGTCGGGCTTGAGCTCGACGGTCTTCTTGGCGTCGTTCAAGGCGTCGGCGTACTTCTGGAGGGAGGCGTATGCCGCCGATCGGTTGGAGTAGAGTACGTGGTTGGTGGGAGCGAGGGCGATGGCGTCGGAGAAGTGCTTGATGGCGGTTGTGTAATCGCCGGCGGAGAACGCCGCGTTACCCTTAGCTTTGGCTTCGTCCGCCATCGTAGATTGCGAATTCAATTGATTGGAGAAGAGGGTTTTGCAGAATTAAAGTAGGATTAGGGGATACGATGTAGAAAGAAGGGTAATTATAGGAGGAGAGGAAGACGAGAAAGTTCTGGCAATGGTGGTAAAGGAAAAGGAGTGAGGTTTGGAGAAAAGGGAGGGGGTTCCGGTTCTCGAAGGTTCCTCTGTTCTGACCTTCTCCGGTCTGCCCCTCCCGACCAGTGGAACGGGTCGACCGTGATACAGACCGGGTGGTTTTGATTAACTCGGTTTAGAGTAGCTTCGGCCGCACAACTTTACACAAAAGCAGCCAGCCCAAACTGCCAGCCCACTCTGTTTAAAACTCTCCTGGACCAAGCTCGATCTACTATGATGTCGGCCCAACTCTTTCCCACCAAAGCACAACGGTTCTGTTCAACTCGGTCCGTCGGTCGATGCTAGAACGGCGTCGGAGAAGCACAATCCACCATTAATATATTGTACACTTTTGTGTACTTTTCAGGGATTCAAATTTCCTGCTCTCTCCTTCATTTGCGGTGATGGTAATTAAGTAATTATCCCAGTTCTTTTTCGCGGCCGGACACCCTTACGGAAGAGCTTATGCGCATCTCCCGCTTCCATTTTTTTCCCATTTTCAACCCTACTCATCGCTCGCCCTCCAGTTTCCTCTCTCCTTCCCGCAGCTTGCGGAAGTCGACCTGAATAATTGTTTCGTGCGGCAAAGACGAGAGCTTTCATGTCCAGGTATTCTTCTTCCAATTAATTTACCTTCTTTTTCCTCAGAATGAAAATCAAATCATCTCTTCCCTAATCGGTAACATGCTTTGGCTGTCTACGAATTCCTACTTGGGTTTTGTTATGTCGGGGTTTTCAAGTTTGGGGTGTACCACTGTGTGCGTTTCAAAATTATCGGGGCTTACATATCCCCATTCTCTTCACCAGGTCAGATTTTGGAGTGCAATTGGCCCCGCTTTCTGCGATTACGATTTTCATGGGCTGTTAACCTTTCAATTCGGGGAGGAGCCTCTTCTTTATTGGCGTCGGACACCATCCATTTTGGTTCTCAATAAAGAGTGGAAGTCCCTCTTTCAGCCATCTAATTTATTCCAGGGTAGAGCCATCATCGCTTATTGTCGAGTTCTTAGATGTGACCTGTTCCCTCTGCCCCTCATTAACCGAGCCAAATCCAATCTGTATATTGTGTTGCAAAGTCGACTTTAGGTATTTACTATTTTAAACTCACTCTAAAGCCTCGGCTTCTTTGATTTCTAGAATTGCAGCTCAGAGTTGGTAGGTCTTTTAGTTTTCTTATTGTTGTATGCTTTTCTGGTTGTAATCTTCAATTGTGCTTCCCAAATTTGCTGCTCCATTGATTGTGAGATTACATATGGGTGCTAATTTGTTTCTTATAGTATAGCCATATGGTCACCTCTATTAAAACTTATCGTATTAAAGAAAAGGCTTGCCACTTCTTCTCTGCAGGTAGGCGTGAATGGGAACTCCCTACCCAGTTGTTGATTTAGCTCTTAGTCGGGAACTGCACTCTCTGGCCTCATCTTCAACACCCTCAGCCTTTCGGTGATCTCCTTGGCTGCCAATTCCATTGTTTTTGCTGTGGAGTCCAGACGACTACATTGTGTCTATTTTTGCCTCTCACTGTAAAGCTCCACTCCCTCTCCTTGGTGAGACGAATATCGGAGTGGTTACAGGTACCTTTGCATCTACTGTAACTGGTTTTTGCTCATTGTGAAGCTACTTTGATTGTCACATTACACTTATCTGATCTACCGTAATATAACCCAACCCTCCTTATGACAAAGGGGTGCAATTATTTTCCATTGGCAATATAGGGTTTGGATTAGGATCTAAGTGGAAATCCTCTCTAATTTTGTATTTTCTTCTCTTATTCTCTTACCGTCATCTTTATTTATTCACAATTCTCAATTTCTGTTGTCAGCTCCAGCTCGAAATTGCAACAAAATTTTCCTGCTCAGGTGTTCAGATTACACTTCGTTTGACAACTCCATAGCTGCTGTGTATACTTTTTAGGTTCAGATCGATTTGCCCTTGGCTGCAGCTTGCGATGACAATGATTGGTCTACATGCATTTGTGATGGTTGATACACATTTATCAAGTTTTTAATGGCTAAGTTATCCTTTTGCTGCTCTATTGGCCTTTGGATTGGTGTGTTGTTATATGTCAAACTTGGTTATATTATCTTATCACAATTTAAACAATTAACAAGATCGAGTATCAAACTAAGCTACCAAGGCACTGGTTTCTGCTTCCAGTTTTGATTGGCTCTCTGTGAGATTCCTTTCACTTTTCAATTTGTCATGAGTAACTAAGAGTTCTTAGAGCTAATGATTTAGCAGTCTGTGATGCATCCCTATAATCGCATGCTTTTGGGATGAATGAATGATGGTTGTATTATTCTGCCATTATGAGCATATATCATCAATATTCTAGGATTTGGTTCTTTGCTTTATAATCTCTATCATGTTTGTCTGAGTGTGTTAGATAGAATTGTGTTGGTATTTTATGTCGAATAGGGAAACAGTTGGTTCAAAACTACAACAATTGGTTTTTTGCTCACTTATGCTCATGCCAAAGAGAATTACTGAAACACAATTTAACAGGTTGTGTATGCCATTGGGGGTTGGGGTGTAAGATAAGATAACAGTGTAGTTCTTTGACTATAGCAGATTTGCAGTTGCGTATAATGCAATTTTGCTCCCATGTTTCAACTATTAAGATTAACCTCCTACCTATTTTAAGCTATGGTGGTTGAGATTGATTTGTTATTTGTTAGTTCATGTTCTGCATCCCAGAGTACTGGGATTGACAGAATACTATGTCATTTTACCATTAACGTTGCATGTTGAACTTTGAAAATGCATCCCAGAATACCGTGGGATTTAGAGAATACTATTACTATGTCATAAATCCACCAATTCATTGGATCCAATTTATTTGATTCATAGATTAACCAATCCATGAATCTAATCCATTTGCCACTTCTATGGTTTATGCAACCCCAATCAAAGTGATTTGTTTTTTTATAGAAATGATAGAAGGCTAGGTGCCAATTAGGCTTCTTAGGTGGTTACTACCGTATCCGGCCAATGGGCCGGCCTTAAGGCTAGTTACCTAATTAGACAAAAGCAAAACCCGGCGGGGCTGTGAGATTGACCCGGTGAGGCGGCGTGTGTTGTCTGTCAGCGTGGCCGCGCAGCTACCATGTCACGTTTAGTAGCTGCTGTGCGTCTTTCGATCTGAGACAAGCTAGCATTTTTTACATTGGAAGCTCCAATAACATTCCCTCTATAATCTGCAGCTCCACGAGCTAGAACGCTCCTAGCACCCGGTGAGTTTTTCGCAGTCTAATTTGCCCTTCTTTCTGAATTTCCTTTCTTTTCTAGGTTTAAATCATCGAGTCTTTCTTCATACCTGCATCTAATTCAATGATGTTTCTCCCCTTTGAAGTTCCTATAATGCTGGAAAGCCTCCCTTTTTGGGTTGGGTTTCGATTTTCTATTGGGGGTGTTACAAAATAGAATGCACAGCAACTGTTTGTTGAAATGCTCGTGAGGGAATGGTATCCGTCCCCTTTGTGCCGGAAATTTGCTGCTTTCTCTCCTCTTAGTGATTGTGCTGTTCCATAATCGTAGAGGTTTATCAATCTTTGACGTGTTGCAATTATGCGTTCCTTTTCTGCTGTCTTTAGCATATCGCAATGCACACATTGCACATGCTAGTTATTATGGTTTCGGATTCGTAATGGGTTCTGCAATGGTTGAAAGAGAAAGATTGGACTACTGATCATGGATCACGTGAACCTTCCCTTTGTCTTGGATTGAACTTTATTGTAGCTCCTCCAATAGCGAATCACCTTCAAGGTAATTTATGGGCTCTAAGAGTTAGGTTAAGGACTTGGAGCTATGGCGATGATCTTGTCTTGGTGTTCCGTAGTCACCCTGGGAGACTAATGTGTTAATGTATTACAAAGTATTTATAGGGGCTATTCATTTGCTGTATAAGCTTGGTCTATGGCGTATGCACTATCTTTTTGTCCTTTCTCTCCGTGCATAGTCAGTTGCTGGCTTGCTGCTCATATTATTACTATGTATTAAGAATAATTTAGGCGTTTTTATGCATATTTGGAAGTTCAGCAAAGATGGTAGTTGTTAAGATTCTCTTTAGAAAATGTGATTCTTTAGAGTTCAGACAAAATGAATATGAGAAAGTTTAGTTTCGTTGTTGTTTGAGACAGCTTTTCTAATCGTAATTATCCACACAAATTTTCAGGGGGGGAAGCACACTGCTGCTTTGATGAAAGGCGCTTCCACTACCTTGCGGTCAGCATTCTCCTTCTGCGTACAACAAGTCCGAACCTATGACTACCACCACTACCTCTGCCTTCTCGAGCTTCCTCCTGACATGCGAAAGGCAGCTTTTGCACTCCGTGCTTTCAACGTGGAAACTTCCAAAGCCATGGACGTCGCATCAGATCCCAGAATTGGTCTCATGCGCCTTCTATGGTGGCAAGAAGCAATTGACAAGATATATTCCAGCAAGTCAATCGAGCAGCCAGTCGCACAAGCCCTCGCATCAGTAATCTCTGACCACAAAATCAGCAAAGGATGGCTGAAACGTTCTGTCGAGGCAAGGATCAACGACGCAAGGAGAGATCCCAATGACATCCCAAACTCCATATCCGAGCTGGAAAAATATGCTGAGGACACCGTATCCACCCTTCTGTACACAACCCTTCAATCCGGTGGCATCAGGTCTACTGCAGCTGACCACGCTGCGTCCCACATTGGTAAGGCGAGTGGGCTACTCTTGCTTCTCAGGTCGTTGCCGTATCATGCAAGCAAGAGCCGTCAGGGCTCGTATATACCAATTGAGGTGGCGTTGAAACATGGGTTGTTGGTTAAAGAAGGAGGGAGGTCATACGTTCAGTTGGAATCACGGGAGGGAAGTTTGAGCGATGCTGTGTTTGAGATGGCGTCCGTGGCGAATGCTCATCTGGAGAAGGCTCGTCAGTTGGCTGGAACGGTGCCTGTTGAGGCTCGTCCGGTGCTGTTGCCTTCTGTTCCTGCCCAAGTTCTGTTGGATACTCTGAGGAAGGTGGAGTTTAATGTGTTTGATCCGAGGTTGTCGCGAGGGATCCTTGGCGTGCCGCCGTTGTGGTACCAGATGAAAGTAA